GCCCTGAAGGGGTCTAACCAGGCTGGTGAGACCCCACAGAACCTTGCTACCCTGGTGAGGACCCAGCAGAGCCCTGGTGAGACCCCACAGATCCCTGGTCTGTGGGGTCTCACCATGGCCCTGAAGGGGTCTAACCAGGCTGGTGAGACCCCACAGAACCTTGCTACCCTGGTGAGGACCCAGCAGAGCCCTGGTGAGACCCCACAGATCCCTGGTCTGTGGGGTCTCACCATGGCCCTGAAGGGGTCTAACCAGGCTGGTGAGACCCCACAGAACCTTGCTACCCTGGTGAGGACCCAGCAGAGCCCTGGTGAGACCCCACAGATCCCTGCTACCCTGGTGAGGACCCCTCAGAGCCCTGGTGAGACCTCACAGATCCCTGCTACCCTGGTGAGGACCCCTCAGAGCCCTGGTGAGACCTCACAGATCCCTGCTACCCTGGTGAGGACCCCTCAGAGCCCTGGTGAGACCTCACAGATCCCTGCTACCCTGGTGAGGACCCCTCAGAGCCCTGGTGAGACCTCACAGATCCCTGCTACCCTGGTGAGGACCCCTCAGAGCCCTGGTGAGACCTCACAGATCCCTGCTACCCTGGTGAGGACCCCTCAGAGCCCTGGTGAGACCTCACAGATCCCTGCTACCCTGGTGAGGACCCCTCAGAGCCCTGGTGAGACCTCACAGATCCCTGCTACCCTGGTGAGGACCCCTCAGAGCCCTGGTGAGACCTCACAGATCCCTGCTACCCTGGTGAGGACCCCTCAGAGCCCTGGTGAGACCTCACAGATCCCTGCTACCCTGGTGAGGACCCCTCAGAGCCCTGGTGAGACCTCACAGATCCCTGCTACCCTGGTGAGGACCCCTCAGAGCCCTGGTGAGACCTCACAGATCCCTGCTACCCTGGTGAGGACCCCTCAGAGCCCTGGTGAGACCTCACAGATCCCTGCTACCCTGGTGAGGACCCCTCAGAGCCCTGGTGAGACCTCACAGATCCCTGCTACCCTGGTGAGGACCCCTCAGAGCCCTGGTGAGACCTCACAGATCCCTGCTACCCTGGTGAGGACCCCTCAGAGCCCTGGTGAGACCTCACAGATCCCTGCTACCCTGGTGAGGACCCCTCAGAGCCCTGGTGAGACCTCACAGATCCCTGCTACCCTGGTGAGGACCCCTCAGAGCCCTGGTGAGACCCCACAGATCCCTGGTCTGTGGGGTCTCACCAGGGCCCTGAAGGGGTCTAACCAGGCTGATGAGACCCCACAGAACCCTACTTACTGGTGAGGCCCCCTCAGAGCCCTAGTGAGACCCCACCGAACCCTGCTACCCTGGTGAGGCCCCCTCAGAGCCCTGATGAGACCCCACAGAACCCTGCTACCCTGGTGAGGCCCCCTCAGAGCCCTGGTGAGACCCCACAGATCCCTG